ACTCAAGCTATCATCCTCATGCCGGGCTCCCAAGCCTGGGCCATCCTGTTTTTCATAATGCTGTTCAGCTTGGGACTTTCTTCGATGTTTGGAAACATTGAGGGTGTCTTCACTCCTCTTCTAGAGCTTCATATTATACCTAAATCAGCACCGAAGGAGCTATTATCTGGTAAGGTATTTGCTTTGTTCAAAGAAGGTGGCTTCCTTAGAGATGCACAAAATATCAACTGCTTAATTAATGTCACAGAAGAATTAATAATTTGTGGTATTAATTTAGCTGAATCCCACAGTGTATGTAAGGGCAGTGGGTTATGTTTGCAGAAGATAAGCAGAGAGATGAGGTAGCAGTTATGGCAGAAGATGTCAGGTGACAATATTATATTGTCTTTGCCAGTTTTTTCTTAGCTTGCAAGTCAAGCTGTTCCACTTAGAGAAAGCTTGTAAAATTGTTCTTCCTAGAGTCAAGTTCACTCTGAGCTGCTGCAGTAGTCAGGAGGAGCCTTGTCTTCCCTTAAGCCTTTGGCACAGATACAAATCACTTTAAAGCACTCAGTGACATCAGCTGGTCTGCCATAATCACCTGCACTACTTACCACTGTAAGAGAGGTCATTCACTCCTATTTCACCCAGGTTTATGCTGCTATAGATTGTTTCACATTTACTGTGAACGTGTCAGAGTAGAAAATTGCCACTTGAAAAATGAGGAATGAAGGTGTGTGATCCTGTTTTGGCACCAAAACTGGAATCTTTTTAACCAGAGATGGTAACTGAATGAAACCTGCTCCTTAAGAACCAGACTTGATGAGAGTCTGAGATCCTACTGTGAAACTGGTCAGAAAAATCTATGGCAGTTGCAAAAAATGGACTAATATTTTTGCAATGTGCCCTTTTAAATTCTTATAGGAAATATTGCTGTCATGCCTTTTGTAGAGTATTCCTGTGGCATCTAAACTGTATCCCTAATTTTACAATTTTTCATGTAGAAACAAATTTATTCCCAACTTGATGAGTTAACAATATTATTTTAAAATTGATTTTCCAATTGCGAACTTTTTTTAAAAAATAAAGTCTGGAGGCAGCATTTTACTGAGGTGAACCAAAGGCCGTCTCAGAGTTAGAAGCAATTAGCAACACGTTAGCAAGACACACAATCTGATTAGTAGCCCAGACTGATTGTCTGTGTCCAGCAATACCTTTATTCCCTCCTTTCTTTCCCACTTTTTCTCTCAATTATCCCAAATATAATCTTGGCTAAAGGGGAATTGTACAGAAGTGTGCTGAAGTGCACAGGCCAGTTCCAAGGCCTGAATGGAAACTAGAAAACAAACTAAGCTAAATAAAATATCTAAGCCAGGCATTTTGTGCACATGTAGCAACGTGTGCTGCTATCCAGAAAGCCTGAGGGCTCTCCTAGATTTTAGACAATGAGCATCTTTACTGAGGTAAGAGTCCTTTGGGCCATTTTCTCTTTCTGTACTCAGCACTGAAGAATGGGTATCAAACACCAAGAACCACTCATTTTCCAATCTCATCAATATTTATAACCTCTGCTTTCTTAGTTGCACGGAAGTATGCTGAAACCCAAATGATACATGCTGGAACACAAGGGACACACACATTTGTAGCTCTGTGCTCTCTGAGGAAATAGGGGCAGAAATCCAGGGAGTCCTTACACTTCCAAGATGCCACCTGCCTGCAGTTTAAGCTTATTGCTGCATGGAAATGAGGCACTTGAAACTCACTACAGCAGTCAAAAATTAACACTGAGTCACAGCACAGCCCAGGCTGTCTGATGGAAGGAAGTTCCAACGACTGGAGGATGCTCTGAGTCACATGAATGCAATCCTCCTGTAACAGTGGTGCTCTTGGCCAACACATGGGAAAACTGAGTCTGGAAAGTGTGATTAGCTCCCCTAAGGAAAAAACAGCTTGCATCTCCATAGAGGGAGAATAAAAATTCTTAGAACAAGAACAAAAATAAACCTACCAAGTTTAGTACTCCAGTAACAAAGATATCTTTTTTTCTTCAGGTATAATATGTCTAATTAGCTTCCTCATTGCTCTGTGTTTTACACTGGGTTCAGGGAGTTACTGGATTGACATTTTTGACAGATATGCAGGCTCAGTGCCTCTTCTAGTCATCGCTTTCTTTGAAGTGATTGGAGTTGTGTACATCTATAAAATTAAAAGGTATGTTGGAAAGCGTTGGTTTATTTTTTGTTGTTTTAGGTATTATTTGGTGGTTGTTTTTTTAAAAAAGTTAAGCAGTTAATAGTTGTTACAAAGTTGTTTATTGTAAAAGCACATTAGTTTTGAAAGGCAGAGTTACAAGCATTAAAGTCCTTGTTAAGTTTTGGTATAGAATTTTAAATAGAAGTAGAAGCTGCTCTCAAGGATTTTAGTAGGGCTGACATTGCTGCAACTCCTATTTTTTTGGGCAATGATGACGGTGGCGAGAGAGTAGGAACAAAAGCAAAAGGCAAAGCAAAGTGAAAAAGTGAAGCTTTTTTTAATACATGGATTTTTCTATAGGAACTTCTTAACAAGATAAAGACACAAATTTGAACTACTATTTTCTAACTTACAAGAATTTTAGTTTAGTACGCCAGGTTACATACAAACACGGTTCATTTTGTTTTATATGAAAAATGTAAGCAACATTTTTACTATAGTTTTATTATATTTAAAATTATGTTCTTGGAGCTTCTATGGCAACATTAGTATTTAGGACTATGCCTTTTAACCTTTACTAGAACTTGCACTTTTACTTTAGTATTTGAGACCTTTTATTTACTAAAAGCACTTAAAACTTACTTATTTACTTGCTTACTTATTTTAAAGCTTAAATTTACATCTTTACTTTATGTGTGAGTGCCTTAACATACTTTAATTTATTCAAAGGTTTTAATTAAATTTCTGCACTTTGACTTCTCTCTGAAGAATGCAGAGAGACTCTTGACTTAGATTGCAACAGGAAAGAGATGGATTATTTTTCTTGTAAGACATAAATGTAGCTCAGGTTGCAGTAACATTGGCCCTGACCTGATTTGATTTGGTGCTGGTTAACTGAGACTTCTTCCTAGCATGCTGTGTTTGTTCCCTTGGCAATTTCATCTTTTTATTTTAAATATCTGAATAGTTTGCAGAACTGCTGCAATATTATCATCATTTTATTTACGCTTAGAAACCTTACACTAGGTACTCAGGTAATTAAACTGACAATGTAAATTGATCATTCAGCCCTGGTATGGATCAATAAAGATCTACTTGAATGATATTATTATTTACTCAAGCAAGTAGTGCGTTATTAAAGAATGGTGTGGAATAGAAAAGATTTACAGTGCTGTACTCTGTCTTTCCAACTTATAGGAAACTATAAAAAAGGAAAACTATTACCACTCTAGATCTGACATCATCATAAACTTGCCTTCTTTTACAAGGTTCAGTAAAGATGTGGAATGGATGACCGGACGAAAACTCAATCTCTACTGGCAGATCACATGGAGGTTTATGAGCCCTCTGCTCCTGCTAATTGTCTTCGTGGCCTTTGTTACTCTCCAGATGCAGAAGCCACCAAGCTACACAGCCTGGAACCCTAAATACGTATGTTCTCAAATATTTTCAGAACTTCTAATGAAAGGAACAATTATCTTCCTCCCTTACCAGGTCCTTTAAGATCATTCTTATCTACTGCTTATCCATGTAATATAGCCTGAAGTGATACAGTGCTCAAAATGAGAAGTCTCCAGTGTGCAGAGAGGTTACACATACTAGCAAGTGTCTCTTCTTGAGTGTCCTGCTTATTTCATGCTCCATATTTCTTATGGATGTAGGTAATGCTCAGAAGTTGAAGTGAAACATGTCACAGACATTCCAGAGGTAGAACAAATGCCTGAGCAGAGTTTAGAGCTGCATAACAGACATCAGGGATGAAGGCATTTCTCAGCAAGAACTACCAGTATTACTGGGGCCCTGGTCAATGTATGAATGTGTACTTTTGACAGACAGACAGGAAGGCAGTGGTCTGAGAATAGCGGTGGCTAATTCAGGAACAGACATGTCCATGCTGAAAACATCTGATCTGGATGTACCTGTCTCACATCAATTGCAGTTTCTTTAAGCTGTCTCAAATACACCTGTGTAGGGGCTTGAAGATCAATTCTGGTCTTAAACTATGAGAATTACACACCAGCAGTGTCTCCCTCAAATGCCATCAAGTATCTATCATTCCAAATAAAACTCATAGTCATAGACTTGCAGAAATTGCTTAATCATCATTCCCTCAAAATCTCTAATACACATCTTCCCTATTTGACAAAGAACATGCTCAGTAATTGCTGAAACCAGGTAAGCTTTGAATACAAGAATGAACATAGTATAAACCAAGAGAGGGTGAAGGTCTGATAACACTTTGGGCAATCCCTATATAACTAGGAATGTGTCACAATTCCAGCTATACATCTTTGAAACTGTAAAACATTTACAGCTGTCTCTAGACCCACAAGAAGGGTTTGCAGAGGACACAGCCACTGAATACTACTGCAGACAGAGTAAAACTTTCACTATCCTTACTGAAACAGCGTAATAAAAATAGAAATCATAGTAAAATCTAAGTGTAGCTACAAATTATTTCATTTGCTTGCTTTTTTATCTCCACAGGAAGGCTTCCCCATGAAAGAAGAGAAGGTTTATCCACCTTGGGTACAGGCCATTTGTGTGCTGTTGGCTGCCCTTCCTTGCGTGTGCCTACCTCTGGTTGCGCTCTTCCACCTGGTCAAAAAAAAGCGCAGGAGCAAGGACCCAAGCTTTGTACCCCCAGAAGTCTTCTCCTGTCAGGGGGCTAACATCAACTTTTCTCATCCAAAAGATTAAATATCCATTGTACCTATCTGTCAGCAAAAATAAGACAGCCTTTGTTAGACATTATTAGCTGTCATTTGGTATCATCCAACCAACCTGGTATACACAGTTCATATGCTCACAGCAATCACTACACTCTGTAAAGAATGCCGTTGTGTTTCCTTTAATTTCAACCAATTTCACAGCTTCATGTATCTCTGCAGCCAGAATTTAAACTTGGAGAGCCTGTTAAGTATTGCTGCTGGCTTCTGTCTTTCTTCACTTTTAAAAAACCCATCTGTTCCTAAGGATCAACAACATAAACTGGAACACAAGCATCTTCAGTTTCATTCACTGCCCTGCCCCCCTGCTCCAAGATATGCAAAATGGGAACTCTTTAAGAATAAGGACTGCTCTTTTCCACTACACTCTAATTTTTGTAAATCCCTATACCCACGTAAAACAGCAGTCATTTTGTGATTTTTTCATATTCTCAAGCATTGCAAGAAGCAAATATAAAGCATCAGCAGATAAAACAATGTGTTAAGTAAATTTGAGTAATGAATTGTGCACAAATCTCTTATCTTAGCACAGTCCAGAATTTATTGTAGTGGAAAATACTGTAAAAAAATTCCCCATTTTTTCCCCTTTATTTCTAAAACTGAACACAATAGCTGAATAGCATAACAAAAATGCAGACGTATAGCAGCCTTTCAGTGAGCTGCAACCTTACAGGACATGAAATTAATCTTTATTGAGAAACAGGATTTCCTGTACTTGGCTGCAGATCCTGGCCACTCTCTAGTGCTGGGAGATGAGGCTTCCTCTTGTCAAGATACTTGAGGAACCAGCAGCCTCTGAAAAAATGTGGGGAAAGTATGTGAGGAGTAAGTATGACAGTGCCTTCAGGCTGAGTCAAGGAAGAGAAAGGAAAGGGTTATAAATCTGTAAATACATAAATAAGAATTTTTAACTAACTAAAGCATACATTTGACATTCACGTTTCTAACTACAGTTAATTAAATATTCATTATAATCCTATAGGCAACTATATTGACCAGGTTTAAGTAGCCAGAGTTCTGTTTTTAAATAAAAACACATCCGGCTAATACAGACAGAAGCTAAGAAAATAATTAAACTAGATCTAGAAGACTTCCAAGTCTATAAAATCCATCTTGAGTTACCGTCACGGTATCCAGACGTGACTTTTGAGCTGTCCCTTCCATTCACCAGAGGTGAGACTTTATGGATCACCAGACACACAGTTCAGCCCAGGACAGGACTCTGAGGGAGGACAATTTTTAGCTCCAGTAACTACAAATGATGGCTGGGAAACACAAGCTGAAGTTATTATTTAGCTCAAGTAGGCATGCAAAAAAATGTCTTTGGCAACACTTGCATGAACACTGTTTTTCTGTTGTCAATGCATTTCTGATGTAACTTCTACGAAGATTCCTGTACCAAAACTCTAGCCTTATTCCAATAAAGTTCCCCTTCTTTTTCATGAAGAATAAGATGATATCCTATAGGTACATTTTTCTCCTGAATAACTCAATTGTGTTACTTGAGGGAGCATGTGTATGCAAATACCTTCTGCTCACTCTTTTCCCAATCTTTTATCTCCATATTCCATCAAATCTTCTTTGTTCTAATATGCTGTGGTGAACTTGTAACATTCTGACTTTCCTAGAATTGTCTAGGCTGCGAGAACCACATGGGTTCTCTGGGGGTAAATCAGTAAAAGACATAAATGCAGCCATGGTGATGTTCAGCCTTAACCAGAATCCACAGCCCTAAAACAAGGACATCAATTGCCTATTAAATGAAAACACCTCAGAAGGAGCATTGGAACAGCACTATAAATAAGGACAAATCCAAATTATCATAACACAATAAACAGAAAACAGATGCAGGGAAGAAATGCACAATCCTTCTGGAACACAGGCAGTTTCCTACATTGTGAAATTTGATACCAACCTCAACCTGAGATTCCCAGTCCATATTTCCTTCCCAAAAGGAAACAGTGGGGAGAGCAGGACGTGTTTGATGTAAGCATCGAAGATACTGCGATCTCCCCCAGAAGGGCTTCCGTCAAATTCCTTCCTTAAGCTCTGCAGACACACTAAAACCTATGTTCAGCCCTACTTCTCCCTCTCTCCATTTAAATCCTCCAGCAAGCTCAACTTCCTGAGTGGTTTGCAACACTTGCAGGGCAGGTTGAGCAGGGAGTTACGTTCAGTGGTTCAGCTCTCAGTCCCTCTACTTGCCCTCTCTTAAATACTGAGACCTTAACCTTCACCACAACCTCTCAAATCTTTTGAAGTTTTCCCAGCTGTACAATGATTGTTGAAAATCCACATTACAGATTCAGAATGCTCCTAAGGTAATTAATTTAATATTTCTAAATTCAAGTTATTCACTCTACCCCAACGTCTCCTGTCAGCAGTTGCTGTTTAACACACTGCCTTGCTACCAATTAAGGAGAATATATTTTGCCACCGTAATGGAGCACACTATTTCTTTTAGAACAGTTCTGTGCCAGAATAGCTTTATGGAAAATTTCTACCTTCCCAACACTATAAACATCTGTTTTTAGAGCAAAAACTGTATGCCCCCGCCATAGTTAATCTATTTCTTACACATATATTAATAGTATTTTCTCTCCAGTTACCATAAGCCACAGCAGCAACTTCAAGTTTTCAGTACAGATTTCCAGCTCTTCTTCAAATCTCCAAATTCTCCACTTGCTAAAATATGTACCTGTTTCAGCTTTACTTTCACTTGCCTTTCTGAGGGAAGGATAATCGAAATGAAATAATCTTCTCTTGTGATTTTTACGCTGTATTTGTATCAGTTTACAAACAGCTACTCTTTAAAACTGATGACTCAGCCAGTAATTATTGGGAAATACAAGTATCAGCTCAGAGAATTGCAAGCATTACACAGTATTCATTTTTATAAAATTACACCTTCAGCTGAGACCACATCAAAAGTTTATTTTCTCACAGAGAAAACTGGGCTAATCCAAGCCATTGGTGAAGTTTACATTCCCTTTCTTCTTCATGTTAGACCATCTTGCTGTCTCTTCCTGCCACACGATCCCATAAAATAAAGCTTTCTGCCCTGCCAGACCTCTCTCATGCAGTGCTGTCACTGATAGTCCTCCCTCATCCAGTATCACTGCAGACCACTGAGGGGCATGGGGGTGTTTAAATGTTTGAGCTGCTAGCCGGAGAGCAAGAGTGCTGTTCTTCATCTCTAGTAGGAACAACTACTCTGACTTTTTTAAAAATACATTTTAAGAGTGCCACTCTGCAGACAGAAAAAAACCCAAATCTGTATGACTGACTGTACATTTTGAACTGAGTTATGATGTTAATGGACAGACTGCAATACTGCAAATCAATCACCAGTCCCTCTGTGGTGGAGATTTGCCAGGGATGAGGCAACTATGACTTCTCTGGGCAACCTCTTCCAGCATCTCAACACCCTCAAAGTAAGTAATTTCTTCCTTATATTGAAGGTAAACCAACTCCCAGTTTTGGGAGCCATTCTCCCTTTTTCTATCACAATAAGTCCTCGTAAAAAATTTGATTTTACAGAGCCAAAGATATGCAAAAAGAAAAGCAATATACTTGGTATATTATCTAATCGAGATCTTTTGTTTTGTAGCTATAAATGGACCAGCATCATTCTGTACAACACTGCAGTAAAAATATCACTAAGTATTCAAAATAAGTAAAACATATATCAAACAATCAGCTCGGACAGTGAAATTCTGGCATATATTAGTTGTGATCTACAAAGCGTAAAATTTCTAGCCTCTGCATCTGGCCAGGAAATGCAGTTGTCCTGTGCAGGTAACTGCTTTTGGAAACATAAACTAGCATATTAAAGATTACTATAAAATAAAGGCCCTGGAAACAAATATGTGTTATTGCAATTAACCAACCAATTTATTATAAAATAGTCTGCAACACAGAGAAGTAAAAAAATAAACCCTTCAAGACAACTCATTGAGCCAAGAAAGTAAATAATTTTGTACAGAACATAATTTAATGATTCTTTCATCAAGAAGATGGGAGTGATGGAACATAACCAAGTAAATTACTTCAAACAGCCTACGGATTTACAAAAAACCCCTACAAACAAAAAACCCAAACAAGAAGGTACTAACAAAACTATCTGCTCTTTTAATGTCCTTGTATGGTACCTGAGAAACAGACATATAAAATTTCTGAATTAACTTGCTTTTGCCCACTTGACCAAAATAAATTACAGAGAAGTCACCTAAAGACATAGTATTTATTTTCAAACCTGAGAAAACTATGAAATAAACCTCAATCAGTTAGTCCAGGATAGCTTTGAAATCTTGACAAAGAGATGGTTCTGTCACTGCCTGCAGTAGTGCCACAGTATCCTCCGGGATCTTCCCGATTACCCGTCTCTTACCTACCAAAATATCAGAAACAATTCATTACAACTGCAAATAACTTTTAATTCTGGTTTAGGGAAATGCTAATGAAGCAATGAAATCAATACTAGCGAAAACCAACTAAAAAGTTGAAACATCTTGAAAATGGAGACAAAAAAAGCTACAATAAATTATGCTACTGTTCTTCCACACTTAAATCAGGCTAAAAAATAAAAAAGATTCAAAATTGTATGTGAAAATATTAACAAAGAAAATCAAGGAGCAAATTCCTCCTACTTTCTGTTTTTCTAACTTTTTTTTGTTCGGATTTGAGAACTTCATTAAATTTTAAAAAGTAAATTTTGAAAGTTCAACAACTTTACCCACCAAATAAGGCCCTCCATTAAACCACAGTTACTTTGAAAGACGGAATGTCCCATCAATAGAAATACAGACAGTAAAAAGGACTTTTTACAGATTAGGAAGAACATGTAAAATCCTAGCAACAGTTTAAGTCCATCACTAAACAGAGTCGGCAAAATTGTCAATGGTGCAGAAAGCCAAAAGTACTCAATAAACATTTGCCCTGTATCTGGAAAGGAGACAGATGATGTATTTATATCTTATCATGATAAGGAAAGACTCTTGCTCCTTTCCCCACTGGTAATAACGGGAGGGATGTTAAACAATAACTCTGTTTTAAATACTTAACTCTGAAGAATGATGACAACTCATGACAAGCCTGATGTTGATATTTAATAGGTTTGGGAATAGCGGGAAGTACCTCCTCCCCAAAACCTATGAGCTTGATATTGATTCCCATGGAGTGTAATGGAAAGGTATGTGAATGGATACAAGAGAAAACCAAATTTATATCAATTCCTGTCAATAACATGATCTTACAAAGGTAATAGACTTTATGCAGCCAACACAAACTCCAAAATGACAACAAAAATTGCAGCTGATAAGTCAACACAAGGGCTTTTACCTTGTTTATCTCTATGCTGCAGATTACTGCAACATACAGAAATACTGAGCTAACTTCACAGGATCCCACCTGAAAGTCAGTGACTTTCCCATCACGACTACTGACATCTGCACATGCTACCTGATATCCAGAAGTCAAAACTTAAAATACCATGTTTAGAATTAGTTCTAATATCTCTACATAATGTTTAGTTCTCTAGTAACCTTCTCTACAAAATGATGTTCTGATTACAATAACATTACCCAGGACTAGTCTGGTGCAGGGCAAACAAAACGAACTTGTAACTGCATAGAAAACTATCAATATCTCTGTAAATGGATTTTAGTGTATGCCCAAAGGATCAGGACACTTAGGATTGTACTAAATTCAGAAGAAAATACAAATATAAACACCATGTACAATCAGGGACTGAAAAACAGCCTTCACCTATGCCAGAGACCTTGGGGATACAGAGATAATCATGCCCCTTTGCACCAAGGGTATGCATGCGACTCATCATCTCAAGATATCGTTGTGCAGCTCCACCAATTATTGTATCAACCCTTGCTGTACTGGTGGAACAGGGCTAGTGGAAGTACAGGTAAGATTTCAGGTGTCTATAAGCAAATGGAGAGATAGCATTTGAATTACTTGGACCCCAGCAATCTGTCAACCAATCACAGTGGAAGTTTCCATCCTAAAAGTTTCATAGTAAAGTCACAAGTCCTAAGTTACAAGTCACAGTCTGCTAATTGTTGAGGCAGATGTTAAGAAAAGATTTCTGAAGCCTTAATCTCTCAGTAATGTGCTTGAAGTCTCACATTTCCAAAAGAAACTGGACTCTGTAGATAAAGAGTAAGTTGTCTTAACACTATGGATGTGAAGAATAGATTCTGCCTCACAGAAGGTAAGATTTATGAAAGAATAGCTGAAAATTACTCTTTTCAAGAGAACATTGTCACCGACTTTCTACAGACCTTTGGACTTTTCCTGCTCCACCACTGCAATACTCAGGAAGTACAATATTAATAGGTTTCCCCAGGAATTTAGGAAGAAAGATTATTCCCTTTCTCAAGGGCAATTCTCACTGCCAGAGCAGCCAACTGACAGGTGGTCAGCTTTCCCTTCCTGGGTTAGAAACTGCACAGAGTTAGGCCTGGACCACATGCAAGCTTCAGGTCAGTATTGCAGTTAGGCAAGCAGCTCTATGGGTACAGCAGAAGGAACCTACTGACAATTGCTCTTCAAACTGGGAAAACTTTGCCTCTACTTCCCAGCCAATCTTCCCTGACATCTGTGGTGATGTGCCTTTGTGGACAGCAGAGACCACTTTTACAGCTGATGCACACAGCCATGGAAGGTGAGATTCTGCTGAGCAATAAAGTTTCCTGGGGCTGTGCCTCCACCCTGAAAGTATTGTCAGATTAAACAGCAAAGCACAGAGAAGGATGAAGGAGCTTTGGCTTGGATTGTGGTCTGCCAGTCAAAGATCCCAAGAACAAAACCTTCAGCATTATTGATGAAAACTCAAATGGATCTTAGAGAAGTGAGGCAGCTCCCAGAGAACCCACTGTCCTGGTTATGTCTATTGCATTCTCTGCTTCGTTCTTCAGTCGCTGTCCCCTCCACTCCTGCCCTGGTTTCTCAGCAGCAGTGAGCAGACTTAGGACCTCTGGTTTTGGTGTCAGTGAGTAACTCAGAAGGAGTTCCTCTGGGAAAGGCTGTTGGAACTCTGCTCCATACAGAAAGTCCATAGCTCGCAAGAATGTGGCTGGCAAAATCCAAACCATCAGTTTGTTTCCTGTAAAAGTGTGTCGTTTTGATACATTCACACTGCACCACCAAGAATCAGGCACTGCACTCCGGTGTTGCTAGAAGCCTTTGATATGGGAAGGAAATGCTTCCTTTCAAAAGGAGAGCTGCTTTCTTTTTGGGGCACTCGACCTCAGTGCAGCTATCAAAGGAAGCTTAGGATACGTTTCAAATCAAATAGGTGTTACTCTGGAATGTGACCCAAGAATTTCTTAGTCTTGTATAAGAAAACTGACGAAGCAATGACTCATTCAGAGTGCAAATTAGAGAGTCAGGTTGAGAGTCCGGGCATCACTGCAGCTAAATTCATTAACAGTACTGGCTGCTTCTCTTGCTGCCGACTTTTAATATCTTAAAACTGAAAATTCTATTACTTATGGGGCTGTCCTACAGGCAGACTGCACAACTGTTTAAGGAAAGAGCTCCCCAGGGGCAAGGGACACAGTTTCCTTCACCAAATGGAAGTGTCAGATACACCAACACCACAACTCTTCAAGAATACACATGCAGTAGAGCCAGTGCTTCTGTTTCCAAGTGACCCTGGTGACACTTTTTTTGGGTAAGAGTTTAAATTGTAGGAGAAGTTTATTTAATTGCCAGTTAATCTACATTTTTTTAAAACAGAAGCTTGAGCATTTGTATTTCATTTAGTTAAACCTGCTGAGAATACTTACATGATTAACACAGTCTTATTAAGCCTTCTGAAGTGTACAAGCTTACTGAGTGCCAAAAGTCAGCTGTCCTGTGAGAATAAGGCTCTAGAAAATGCAGTGCTAAAAGACATTTTAGTCTGCCTACTTATTCTTAGTAAATTCGAATAAAATCAGAAAGATTGTTAAGGTACATCTGAGAACAACATTTTAGGATTAGAAAACTTTAAAAATCCCTTAGTTTCTAAGTTTTGTTACAATTAACCATAGACAAAACTGCAAAAATAGCTGAATACTTACAGACTTTTAAAGATGTAAGCAGACATTTGTAAACAGCTTCATGATTTGACAGTTTGACAGTGAAGGCATGGTAGCAGAGCCATTCTGCTACATGAATAGGGAATATGTCAGATACATCTTTGTTACCTGCAGCAATCCCTAGAGATAGAAAAGGAAAATAATGTAACTGAAAATGATGAGCATTAAGAAGTATGTCTGATCTCTCCTCTCCTTCTATAAAACCACCCCAGGATTTTTTACTAGAAACCTGTGCAGTCAGTGAAGTCTTGTACATCAGCAGAACTAGTGCCTGAGACTCAATCTTCAGAAAACTGAGTTTAAGAAAAATGCACTGTGATTCTTAGCAGGCACTTCACAATATTAAATCCTGATCTTTATCCCAAAATCACACCATCAGACTGCACATTCAAGATGTTCTATTTGTCTAAAAAACACCCCAAACAAATCCAAACCCACTACTTCATTGCCATTAACATCCTATACCTGCATTTATTGTTTTCAGGACAGCATAGCAGCATGATGCAGTCTGAGAGATAATCCTTAGGAAGAAATGAGGATTTTTTCTAACTTGCTGGTTGAATGGAATTTGGAGAACACAGGCATGGAACCTGTTCACAAAAACAGCCTATTTAATCACAAGCCATTTGCAATTTCAAGTGAACCTATGACTAAATAGCTTAGGCACTACACAACATTTAAAAGCAAACATCAGTATTTAGCTGTATCAACACTGTTACTGCATGACACCTCTCCCATATATACACATTCCTGGAATGTCAGACATATATGATGTTTCTTTCTAAATTTTATGCTGAAAGATGATCTTGAAGCAATCTGCCTTGGTAACAGAATTGTCCTCTGAGGACAGCACAACTGTGCTGTGTGCAGGGAAAATTAAAATACCCATAGTCACCAATTCACAGACCACGCCAGCAGAGAACACCCACATGAGAGAGTGTGAGAGGAAGACAAAACAAAGCAAAACCCCACAATAAATGTAGACAAATAAAACAGACTTCCAAATGATTTCACAGACCAAGATAGTCAGTCCTTTGCCTATTTGGAAGCCAACTACATAGAAATTATTTGTATTGTTTGCTTCCTTACGCCTGTGAAAATATTTTAAAACTGCTGACTTTTTTTACCTTCAGACTCTGACATTATAATCCTGCTTATGCTAAATATAGCCAATTACAATGTTGATTTTTAATTAATCAACAATGTATATACTTGTTTATTAAATTAACTCAGCATATTGCCATCACTTAAAGAAACTGTGACACTTTCAATATTTATAGGATAGACCCAAGTACCTGCTGCATAACAGGTCTTGGGCTGAATTAACCTGATATGCAGTTATTAGGGTGGACAGTCTTTTAAATAACCTATAAAGGCCACTGTTAGAATGTTACCATAAAACCAAACAGAAGTAACTAAGTGATCACATCTATCAGAGAAAAATTTTAAAAAACACCCACAACACAAAAGTTTAAGAGCTGGACACATCAGTGCTGTACTAGACAAACCCAATTACACTTCTTGGACAAAGAATATAGCTTGAATGTGGACCAAGACGAATTTAAGAACAAAATCAAAATGTCCCTTTGTAACAAGTGTGAGCATAGCAAAAGAGCGACATCTGATTTCTGTGAAGAGTGAAGAACTTCTAGCACATTTTCTGTGTTAAAGCAATAAAACCCCAATTACTTGCTGCTGCCAATCATTCAAAGTTTCCAATATTCATAGTTGAGTCTTTTCTTGCAACTTACTTATTAATTTTGATTTCTTTCCCTTATCTTTGTTTAAAACATTCACTTCCTCTGCTGATCAAGCCCAGCTCACAAATACCAAGATATTACCAGCTAAGGAGTAATTAAAACATTATCAGCAATAAGAAACTGCAATTAACTTGGTAGAATGAAACCTCACTTTACCTAAAGTTATACTGGTCAAAGTTCTATATGACTTAACAGATACAAAGTTCTAACTGATCTAAATATAAAATGGCTAATAAGGCTTCTTGTAATACTCCTGAAGCAAAACAGACTGGTTATCTTGAGGTCAGCTGTCAAAACCAAGACACTGAACATCCATTTGAAGTATCACTTAAACACACACATCAAATATATTCCTGTATCCTAAACCTAACCGTATTACTTAAGAACAGTGTTGAAACAAGAATAATTTGACCTACTACTGACATTTACTACTGCATACATCACACACACATATATAGACACTGCACACTTACATAGCATACTTTTTTCTAATTCATAGCTCCTCCATGTGTCAAGAAAGAGTAATGAAATACTAACACTTTCTTCAGAAGACAGTGACCTACCTGTAAGCCTGGAGTAAAAATATCTTGTAGATGTTAATGAGAACTGTTCTAAGGCTGTTGATCTAGAACAGAAACAGAGCCATAAGAATATTTTAGTGTCATAACAGGATTTGTTGAAGATCTAGACAAAAAGCATTTTATTGTAAACTTTAAAGACTTCTTTTGTGCAACTAAGTTAACAATGTTGTGAAGGATCACTTCTGGAACCCAACATTGTATTTGATGTCATTTCCCGATTATGTGGATTTCCTCTCAAAATAAACTTTCATGTTAGAACTCAAAGCAGTTTTAATGGTCTTCATCACGTATTACAATATTGCCAAACATTCATTTTCATATTCCCACCTGTAAATCAAGAAATAAACTATGACATTTCAGTTTAAGGACTGCACTCAGTTTGTATTTCATGTTTTTCCCAGCTGTTATATTTGAATTGAAGGAAAGACTTGATCTGATGGAAGTACAGGTGTAACTAGAAAAAAAAAAGTAAAAAAGTAATTAAACTCGATGGGCTAATAGACTAAATTAAATTCCGTAAAGTGAGCCTCATTTAACTTCCCATGTTACAGAGACTTCCTGCTAATTAATGAGCCAGTAGCTAAAAGATGACCATAATTAAATTCAATATTGAAAGAGACTAGGCCCTGTGGCATTAAGGGTATTAGCTAAGGGCTGACTTCAATTCCTCAGGGCTGAAAATTTGACCCTGCTAAAAAAGCCAATGCAATAACTTTAAAAACAAACTAAATATATTTCTTAAACACATTGTCTACCCAGAACATTATTAATTGCTCCAGTGACAATCATCTTATCGATATCTATGATCCATTTTTGAAGGAGCTTAGGCTTGAAGCCACCTTAGTTACTGGAACAACCCTGATGTCCCAGCTACTTAAATCAAGATTAGCAAAAGCAAAGGTTTGAAACACTGTGGTGGGCTTAGCAGTGCTGGGTTACTGGTTGGACTATCTTAAGGGTCTTCTCCAACATAAACAATTCCATGATTTTATGATTCTGATTAGTGTCTCCCAGACCAGCAGCATCAGTACCCTTTTCAACATAAATTGTTTCTTTCAAGAACTCAGCAAGCAAATAAATATCTTTGGCTGTTGATTTTTGGTCCTTTGCTATGGGAAACCATGTCATATAAATTCCTTTCCTAAAATGACCAAACTTTTCTGTTTAGGAAAACTACTGAAGAACTTTACCACCCTATCAGTGGAAAACCTCCTCCTAATTTTCCACTTAAATACTTAGGGGCTGCTTATACCAAAAATGGTCAATAATGCAGCAATATTATCCTTGAGTTTAAACAGTCCTTTCTTTTCAAACTTTAGTAAATGTCTAATGCCATCTCTAATAGTCCATGTAAAGGATCTACACAGTTTTTCAGTAGGATACATTATCCTGTCCTGAGTTCTATGCCACTTCAGATTGTTTTGTCTAAACTGTCAAGGTTGCCAGTTTAAAGAGAAGTTCTCTTCCCCACACATTCTTTTCCATCTGAAATGTACCAGAGGGAACACCTCGGATGTCAAAAAGATTGCTAGTCCCTCTACTCTATATCAAATTAATCCCAATCTCTTTTGCATTTAATTCAACTAGACCATTCCCAACACCCTTGTGCTTCTCCCACTATGCACAAGATACTAGAAAGCTGACACTGGTGTGTACAACTTTATTTACCTGGAGTAATCGCAGTAAACCTCAAGTGTTTTTATATCTAATAACAAACCACACCACGGGATCAAACGACAATCTGGCAGCTGTTTAAATTGGGAACATCCTGGGATATCATCAACAGGAAAATTCACCACTGTCTTATTTGGGTTTATTAAAAGGCCGTACTCAGGAATACCTGATGTTAAAGTCCTAAAACAGATATAAACAGTTAGGCTAAGCCCCTGCAAGCAAAGCAGACAAAAACTGGCACCATGCTGCAAGACACAAGATCTTGAATAAAAGGGCAGAAATCAAAGAATAAAGGGAATCACAGCCAATTCTTCATGTTAAGGAACACAGCTAGAAATAAAGAAAGTGAAGATATTTGAGATAAATAAAAACATAAAATAAATAAACTTGAGGATTATGGAAAACATTTACAGATTAATGCAAATTAAGCACATCAGCCACGCAATACTTGAGACAAGCTGTATGAACCACACTCACAGAAACCTCTGAAACAAAAATCACTGGAAAAAGACAGATGACAAGTTATTGGTTTTGGAGGTTAACAAAACCAAGGAGAATCTATATAACAGGAACCTCACTTATCCGATGGAAAGTTTTGAACTTTGAGGTGAACATTTTCCCTAAGAAAGTTTTCACTGCCAGATTTCAGCACTGCCTGCTGATTACCTGATACATACTGTATCAGCAGTGTCATGGACAAGGAGCAGTTTGTCTTATTTGGCAATGTACTTAAGTGCAGGCTTCATCCTTTTAAAGAGAGGAAGAGGTATGCTCTTCTTCTTGGGAAGTTATAGTCTTAATGCTATCTCCTCAAAACTAAGTTATTGAGTTTCCCAGTTCTAATACTACATAAGGAAACACTGGTACTACTGCATTTGTGGCAGAGAGCTCATAGGATCTGATCTGTAAACAGTTCTGGAAATCTCTCACCAAAAAGCCTACTTCTCTACAGAAAATCAACATAGCTGGTACAGAAGTTGATACAGAACAAAGATGCAGACAACTTCAAAGGGCAAGAAGGACAGTATCTGCACTGCTACTCAAGTGACATGGTGCTGAAAAGATATTACAGAGATTAATGGCTTGAGGCCTTCACTGTTAGTTTATTGTTCCCAGAACTGTAAACCCAGAGATCTCTAGAAATTTCCTTCTGTTCTGATAAGGAAATGAGGACAAATAAAGTCTTCAAAATATACTATCCACTTATACTTCAAACTGTACTTAATTGATTGCTCCATTGCCTTTCAGGCTCACAACTTTCTGACTGCATCTTTCTGACAACTGAAAAGCATGATGCAACTGACTACACTGCACACACTACGCTTTTCTTCGAGACCTGTCCTCTGGATCCTTTAAATTGATTTTGGCACCAGCAGAACTCCCTTAGAACTGACTGTACACTCCTATCCACAGTAACCAGGAGCCTCTTCTGAAACTCAAATTTTAAAGAAAAGGTAGTTCTGAAGCACAATAAGAATTACTGTTTTAAAACTTCTGTGTGAACTACATAATACCATGCTACCGGTATCTTCAGATAGTCATCATGGAATATTAATAACCAGAAAATTCTTAGCAATATTGGATCAGACAAGAGCTACATTTCTTCCCTGGGAACAGAAAGCAGTACCACGAGAGCCCAATAAAAAATATTTTGAGAATGCAAATAAGACATCTCAAAAATTTAAGAGAAAATGGTTTTGATAGACAACTGTTAGCTGCCTTGGTTAGGCTGCAATACTAATTTTTGCTTGAAGCTCCATCAAGGTTAGTAGGTAGGTCCCTAATTCAAACTTAAGCAGGAATAGCCCAGTATGTAAACTGCAACAGACTGTTAACTGGCTATCAAGAAGGCAGTTTTAGGATTCTTCCCAAGCACAGGCTACTACCAAGGACTCCAAAACAGCCCACCGATGTGCATAAAGATGAAAAAGAATTACGTAAAAGGCAATAATGCTTACTGCTTTGAAGACTATGACTCTAATAGCATACCTTAGAAAAGTTCTTGCCTTCATTATATGTGGTGTAAGCAGCAAAAAATCATCAATGAGACGTATGAGAACTCTGTAATCAAGAAGAAATGAATGTTAGATTTTTCAGTACGTAATCTTTTCAAAGTTTTTTCATACACTTGAGAGCAACAATTTGCCTGCGTATTTTAATTCACAATATGGTAGAGGCTGATATGAACTCCAAATTGAGACTCATGAAGAAATTCTCAGTTTTGCTTCTTTCCTAAACAAAAAGGAAAAACGTAAATTAAAAAGCAATGAGACTGGCTAGATGAAACATGAAGGAACTTAAAACACACAAACTATTCCACAGTGGCTTCCCAGGGGTTTATGTTTTTCCAAGAGACAATTTCCAGTCTCTTTCTCTAGAGGACAAAGTAAAGAGGTGCTAGACCAGGTACACAAGTAGATTCCTGATGGGCTCCAAGTCTATCTTTGTTTACCACGTAATAACTTGTTTATGAAGCTATAGCTTGAATGTAAAACAGAATACTATCTACCACTGTAAAGGCTGAAATTCAGACCCCAAGCATGTCCATATTTTTCTGGTAAATCTTGCCTAGCAGATCACAGAGAAGTAGCTCTGGAGATGATGACTTACAGCCTCATCTTCAAAGCAAGAGTACTGCCATCACTATGGTCAGATCAGCTGCACCTTGGCCCAGCCCAGTCAATAACCACCTTATTCTTCTGACTTAAAGAAAAAATTAAATTATCAAGATCATTCAACAGACACCTAAGCAACATTCTAAAATCTGCTCTATATAAAGACAGCTGCTGTATTAAAGAGTGCATTCTTCTGAACTTCTTCAGTTTCATAATCTCCATTTTGTAGACAACACCCTTTGAAAGCAACAGACAGCTTTTCAGACTCACATCAGAACATCCTCAAAAGTCTGTAAGAACTACTACTTTTGTAGGGAAATGTTTAAAATTCTGACACCCAGCAAGCTTCCCAAGAAGAGACATCAGACAGATGCACTTATCTGGAGTATTCCCACAGTCTCTTTCATTCTTTTGGGGAAGAACTCACAGCAATAAAGGGACATGTCTGAACAGACGTTTCAGGGTCCAGCTCATGACTAAATAATCTAGGATTCAATTGGGGATCTGTTCATACAAAGGTAAAAGGAACTTTCAAAATTTTTACAGCTAATAAAGAGGTAAAGCTTTTATCAGGCTAGCTTTCTGTCAAGCTCCTAAGGAGCAAGCACATGCAGGGCACAAAGACTGAGAGAAGATTTACCAAAAAACACACAGGGCTTCAAACAAGAACCAACATACCCCATAAAAAATCTGCTATAAAGCTCTGACCTTGATAAAATGTTAAGATTTACTAACAATGGATTGAAAAGCCCTCAGGCAGAAGTCTGAAGTATCAGAAAGTCTGTAACAAACATCTTGTCTTGTCTAGGGTGAAAAAAGACCATAGATGATGTGGGAATGAGTGAGGCATAGCCATAAACTTCTGAGAAGTACAAGAGCAGTTTGTAAGACTCCTTACAGCATCCCTAAATACAGTGCTCTAAGAATAAATCTCCTACCAAAGATATAGGAAAGCCTCTCTGCATTTTCTTCTCAATCTTGTAGTAAGGAAATTCTCCAGAAAAAACAACCACTATTTCACTGAAGCTGCAGAGATGTTTGTGTGCACCACACTCCTAATGAAGTTGGAAATCCTTGAAATTCAAAACTAAATGTCAGAAAATGACTAATACATATACTACATATTATGAATTACTATAACAGAGCACAGAACAAAGCACCCCTACCCATCCTGCTTTATTCCAGAGAGCAATTTGTTTTCCATATCTCCATAGAATAAGCTGCAAAGTAAGGTTGACAAAATGGAGCCCTGTGGAATTCCACAGCACTGCAGGTAGTACCTACCAAAGAAAAGGAAAAAAAAACACTCAAAACATGCAACAAGATCACAATAGCTGTTAAATATTTTTTCCAAGTATAACGCAAGAAATATACTTTATGTTTTCCAGTTAGTCTTAAATTTTTCTGTTCTTTTTTCCAAGAATCTACATAGAGATCTAGTTTTAACTTTAATAGTGAAAAAACCTCATTAATACACACACTCCTTCCGTATTAACAAACTCCAGGAGATAACTGCCATTAAATGAAAGAACTTGTGTAACTGATCTCAAATCACAAGGCCTCCTTCTGCCACAGAATAATACTTCATTGAAGTTTTTTAATTCTTTATGTTACATCTTACCATGACAGCTTCAAGAGAAGTATTCTTACACATAAAACGAAGTGCACTGGGAGAATTTTCTATGCTGGCATCAACCAAATGGGTATGGCTCACAAAACCCAAGAGAATTATTTTCACATTATTTTCTTTGAAGCAGTGAGATACTATAATGTCCTTTTCACCACTATTACATGAATGACTTGGTGAAGCTGAAGAGAATAAATTCAGACTACATACTACTTTTGAGCACTGATCCTACCTGTATTTTCAGCCATCTGAAAATACTCCTTGCAGCAATTTTATTTTTGTTAAATGTATCAAATGATATTATAAGATTCCTTAGAGGTCCCCAGCTCAATAATCTGCATTTTTCTCAAAACACCAAGTTAATGTTGACTGTGTTTTTTTAATGAGAAAGAGTCTATTTACTGAACATATGGGGTTTTTTTGGACAAAGAAGAACAAGCTACTTAAAAGGGATAAGTTAATTTCAGGACCAACAGTATTTTTCCAGTCAAGTTGGGACTGAACTTGGAAGCGTGAAGCTGGTTTTGTCAGGGTGTGCTTTATCTGAAACCATTAAAATTCCATTAAATATACTCATGTTGGTTAGTCATTATTAAAGTATGCCACAAGAGCATTCTTATGATCCTGCCAAAGGGAGCGTAAGCACCAATGATAGAAAAAAATATAAACATACTTCCATGTGACTCCTTGAGAGCATTTCTCAGTCTCCCTCACTCCTATGAGATTCTAAAATAAATATTCTAAAACAAAGGTATTTTTCCAGAGCAAGAAGCTATTCATTCTAATATAAATCACTCTGAATTTACAAATAATGATCATGTAAGTACTTCCTTTTTTAGACATGGTACATATTTGCCACCTAGAGGCAAAATATAAGTATTAAGTTAGTATCTCTACTAACACAAGAAGAAATCTGCATCACTACCTTTTGTAACATCTCAATCTTAATTTTGGAGTTGTCAATAATTCCTATTGATACTGCCTTTTATTTTTATTGCAACTTGCCAAATAGCAAAACAATTGCACTACAGGGAAACGACTGACAAGGCTTTTGCATGATTGCTTGGATGTTATTCTTGATTTTGCTCACCCCTATGGAGTTCATCATTTTGAAGTATATTCCTTTGGAATTGCACTTGCAGTTTTAAATGAAGGTTATTCCACATTCTATGAAATAATACGTTATGAAGGTTATTCCATATTCTACGGAATAATGCATTGTAAATAGTTAACGTCATCCAGGTAAGGAAGAGAAATTTTATTGAATATAAAGTTGACTCTTCATGCTTTTTTAGAGCTTAAACCAATACACAATTTTCTCATTAATATGAAATAAAAAAAATCTTTAAAATATAGCTATCAAAGAGTCAATTAAAGGCATCCTCGTAACAGAAAACAAACAAATCAACCAAGCATGCTATATACAGAATAACTAGTTTCTTTTTACCTGTTCCTAATCTTCAGGATGCTGTTATGTATCATTTGAAGGAAAAAATTAAACAGGCTGGAACTTGTCTCTTGGAAAGTTAAACTCTAGAAAGGTGACAAAACAAAACAAGATTTGAAATTAAAAATACACTATAACTTTGAAGATACACAAGTATTTTAAAAAAATAGATTGTAGCAGCTCAGACCCCTAAGTAAGTGAAAAGACAAACCCTAAAGCCAAGATCTGAGCATACATGCTAAAAAGCTGCTCACAACCAACAAGTTAATTTTTGTTGGATGTTGGTTTTTGGGGTTTTTTGGGTTTTTTTTTGCGTTAGGAGAAATCAAATATAGCATCTAAGTCCACTTTAAGTGCTGGCATATTACAACATATAAGACTTGGCTCTTTTGGCTACTTTCTATTCTGTAGGACAATTTCTTTATGTCACGATATCTATGATTTTCAAAGTCTTGATACACTCACTTGCCCGTTCTGCTGCAAAACGCACTTCTCCAGCTATTACCAACACTTCCATGCACTGCTGTCCACCCAATATTTATGGAACATTTTGTTAAAAATTATAAGATAAAAAATCCATTTATAACAATACCCTTAACAATGACTTAATTCAAATTAAAATAAATTACTTACTACTTGCATAGATCAGACAGCAGACAAATGCACCCAGCTTTTGAAAGAGCCATGCAAGATCACGATTACTTGCATTGAAAAGACAATGTGATGTACCAATGGTACAACACCCAGCCTGACATGACACTTTTCTCAAAATATTTTGTTCTTTTAAGATAACACACAAATAGTTTTCAAACATAAAATATTTTTAAATAGTACGCTGCTACTCATGCAATATCTCACATAGTTCTCCAGTTCTCTCATAGTTCTCTAAATCAGTTTGAAAAAGGTAACAAAATGTACTTAGACACGAGAGATCCAGATAGTTTCCATTTTCATCCAGGTATTCAATAGACTTTCTTATTTTTGTAAGATCCTGGAATTGTACACCAGCCACACCATACATTCTACTCTTATATCCACAGATACACAAGATCATTTCACTTGGATGTTACAAATCACCTTCTGGCAACTTTGTCATTTTCCACTGCCAGGTTTAGAGAAGAAAAATTTAAAGAGGAATTACAAGCCTGAAAGAGCATAACTGTCTGCTCATTTGACGCTCGGGAAATCTTGGAGGTTGTTATTATGGAACACCATGATTCCAAGCAAGGAAATGCATGAAGAAATTGTCTATCACTTCTATGCCTTTGTCACATTCCTTGCACAAAAGGAAATCTTGAGAACAAACACTTGTATCACAAAAATTAAAACAGAAGGATGCTTGCTTCTTGCAAAAAAGCATCAGTTGGAGTAAATTTAAAATATATGTAATTTTTAACCATACTTTAATTCACTGAAAGCAAGAAATCACTTTAAACAACAACTTAAAGAGTTGATTTTGTTTGCACTTGATTTGTGTTGCACTTAACTCCTCTAAAGAAGAGTTCATTCTCATCAACCTTGACAGGTAATCCTTAAAACTAGGGTTTTTTTTTATTTTTAACTAGGCATAAAATAAGATCTTAAAACAAAACAAACAAACAAAAAGTTGTGCAGTTTGCCAGTCAAGATCCCATATCCTTAGTTACTTGTCTTGTAATACATTTTGGTCATTCTTACTTCCAAATGTTTTGGAGATAGGAAGTGTTGACGCCCACTTATACTAGATAATTTCTCATTTGAGGACTGTTGCAAGAAACAGTGAATTTAGGAAAGGAAGAAGAAAACACTGATTAAAATAAAAGTTTGATAAAATAATGAGAAAATCTAGGAAAAGTCTAGAAGGATTTTTTCCAGATTTCTTGCCTGGTGCACTCCTCCCACTAAACACTCAGTCTGTTACAAACACCAAAGAAGAGATGATGAAAGTCTTTCTGCAGAAGGTGTTGGTTACCTAGATGAGAAGTAATGTCACCATATAATATGTACATACAAGTAAAAACTCCAATCTTTCTCTAATTCTTCTGTAGTTTTCTTTTACAGTTGAAAAGAAACCTCACAATACTTACCTGTTCAACTACTATTGCATTTTGCAATGAGGCATTCTCCTGAAGCTGGGACACAAACTGCTTCATGTCTGGCATAAAGTCCTTGAAAGTAGAAACCTGTATATTTGTTTAAATTGTAAAGAAACAAATGACAAAAGCAGTAGAAAATTCAATAACTGACTTTTCTATTTAGTGGAGGTCAAAGGACCAGCCTTATTGCATTACTTTAATCCAACAGCTCCTCCACTGTTAAAGTGAAATGTCTCGCCCACAAATCTATATTTCCACAACACATTTACCTTTATTTTTACTAAGAGCAAGTAAAAACTTTAAAAGGTACAGACTAAAACCAAGCTTTTTTACCCCTGGAAAATATCTAAGAGTATTAAAAAAGAGTTTATTAAGTACTTAGTCAATTCAAATTGTGACTGGGACCAAAATATGTTTACTACAGCAAACAGAAGCAATCAGGAAGTCATACATGTCTCCTATAGAGCCTCCTGGCTTTTCCACTCGGGGTAATCATAATCACAGCATAGCGCCGTATGCAGTACACGGTTCTCTTCTCAGGCTTCAGGACCCGCGAAATCACTTCCACAAGTTTATTGTGAGGAATGTTATCAAAAGCCCTGGACAAATCAGCCTGAAATAGAAGAAATATCTTCCACCACATATTCAGCAATATTGCTGCAAACACTATGATACTATAGAAGAAGTATTGCTGTAGTGTGTAAGCAAGGCTGAAGGACAGATCATATGGGAGTAAATACATTGCATCATTCAGCCAAATCTGTGACAAAATAAAAACTCACTGCTTATCTGAAAAAAATTTCCCTGCTCATCAATCCCTTAGAAAGGAATATCCAAATCATGTTTTAACACAATTATTATTGACAGAAGATTATACCATATGCAACCTTAAATCAAACACTGAACCCCTAATTTAACTTAGTAGCTGGTATTCTCATGTTTAAATATTTTAAGGAACTTGCCTCACCATACAGCCAGGAAGATGACATCTTAGATTTTTGGAAAGCTGCAAACCTACATATTTTACCTTTCCCTTCCTTTCCTTTTCATATTGGAAACCTACGTCTGCTTTTACTTGTCATAATAAAAACAGAAAACTTTCTGTAAAAACAACAATCTTTGGATTATTATAACACGAATTATGTCAATGACATGACCCTTTGCCTCAAAAGATAACAAGACAAAACTATGGAAGTTATTTCAGGGCAGGATGACAAGCAACATGAGAGATGAGACCAGAGCCCCCCTATAATACACACAAATCTGTGTAACTTATGTATTTCTGTTTACATTGCCCCAATTCAAAGCTATGACTTGAAATTAAACACAAAATGTTGCTTACTAGACAGAACTGACAAAAGTGTGAAGATGAAGAGCAAACTCCTTTAAATAGTAGGTTACCACAAGCATTGATTTTTTCCTAGTGGGAGAAGAAACTTATTGGAAAAACACCAACCAGAAGTTGTATGTTCATTTTCAACAGAAACTAACGATACTGATAGAAGGGACCAATTTTTTAAGAGACATTTAATTTATTCAAATGCACATAGAACATTTTTTTCTGGTTTTCATATGGCTCAAAAGGCTGAGCTTCTATCTATCTTTCTCTCACTTTTATACCTAGCTAAATCTAACTCCAAAAAATTCAGTGCATGCATAGAAGCAGGAGCTCCTGCACAAAAGACAGACAGAAAACACCCAAGTAAAGAAAGCTCTACTGCAAGGACACTTATCTACAAACAGCAATCAACCACCCCCATCAAAAAACTAACCAGTCTGTAAGGTATGCACAAAATTTTATTAAGGAAAGAAAAAAATTATGTAGTTAGATTACAGTTAGTACAGGTATAAAAGTATCTGCACAGCCTGATTTTGAAAAGCTGGTTTGAACATGCAATAAAAAATACATACCTTTACACAGTAGAAATGAGGAATTTCACCGCCAGATTCAAGAATCTTTATAACAAACTGCTTCCATGTCTTGTAGATATCATCTTTCCCAAACACTGAGGAGCCTATAAAACTGGTGTTTATAGTCCGTTCATAGTTTAACGCACTAAACAGATTTTTTAGTTGAGTGTTGTAATGACTCATCTAAAGAGATCAAAGAGAAGCACCTTAAGTTATGCTGCAACATATTAAATTCTTTGTAATACATAGATTACAAATTTACATGAAGTTTGGGATTATATTTATGCATTTACTCTATTACTTTATTCAACTGAAGCTTTCAGAAAGCCTGAATATCACTGCAGTAACTACTTCAAAGTGACAAAACAGTCTCAGTTTTGGTTTTTTTTACAGTTAAATCCTATTGAAAATATTTTAGCGCCTATCCTTGACTCCTGGAAATCAGAGTGTAATAGTTACAGTGATAAATAGATGAATGCCAGCAAATAAAACCACCACTGATCTGAAAATAACTTAATAAATATCATTCATTCTCTCTGTTAGAGATACTGACAGCAACAAGAACAGCAAAGAGAAGGTGTGCTCTGAGATTTTATGCTAACCCCAGCTGCACCACCAACTGTGCCTCTGGAGGTACTTTATCCAAGTAATGGAGCAAAGATTTAACTCAGCTGTGGGAGCAGTCAAGTACATCAGAGCAGCACTGAAGTCCTGCAGGTTGATTAGCTCTGTAAATACCATAATGTGGAATATTATGTGAAGTAACACTCCACAGTTCAGAAGTGCTTTTAGCTGATGCTCTTTTCATCTGGTCTGGGATCACACGGTATGAAGTTAGTGCTAAGAAGCTGTTGACATCTCACCCATTTGGGGAACATTCAATCTTGTGAATGAGACTCAGCCTTAAGGAAAATCAATTAATGCAGCCATGCAAGATAGTGAAACTGGGTTGCCACTATGTCTTCTGGTTAACTGCCCTGTTAAATACATTATTCTGTGCACTGAGTGTTCTGTCTCTGTTCCCACACTGCAATTACTTTCAGCTTCCTTCTTATCTCTCTACTGTGCTTGCTCCAGCTTCCTTGCCCTTCCTTAGACCCTCTTCTGTAACATACCCAGCTCACCACTGCTCACTGGCTCCACAGGCAGCTTCACAGATCAACATGCACCATCACTATTCAGGCAAATTCCAATAGGCCAGACTCACCCATATCAAAATAACAAAATTACCTTACAAGCTGTGCCTTTCTATTGGGCTCGTTTCCTTAAGGGAGGTTTGCAAACAGAAGTCTGTGATTCTGGAACTGGAGGCTTGTGGTAATTAACCATTGGAAAGGGAGAAGCTAAGCTGCAACAGACCCATTCAGCCATTCTGATCAGAATGTTACAGTCCACCATGTTGAAACTAGCTTTATGTAACAAAAATCATTACTTCATCTATTAATTACCTATATCAAATGCACATAAAACAATGAAGTAAATAAAAACCTTCTTTTCTCTGCTTTCCTTGCTGAGTGCTTGTGGTTCAACAACACCGTCCACTTTTACTATGGGTCTCAATCCATTTGGTTTGGGAATAAACCGGAGCTTTGATGCCATAGGAACAAATTTCTTTTGACGGATAGTTTCCATGTCCTCTGAAGACAGAGGCCGTAGCTGTACTTTGACAAAATGGTTTCTAAAATACAAATACACACTTAGTGTAAGCAATAGGAAAAGCTAAACTAAAGCCAAATATTTTTCTAAGATAGTACAAATACTAACCTCTACAGAAAGTGACATGAAATTGTGAATTTCAGAACAATATCACAGTACCTTAATGACAATGCAATACAATAAGAGACCACACATTTCTGCTTGATGCAAATAAAAACTCCTCTTAACACAAATTAAAATTTAAGATCGTGGAATGCATATGAACATTATGAAATATGTTTTATACAAGAAACAGGAAGTTGGATATTGCTCATGTTTCAGGAGTTTAAAATACATTAACAAAGTTGAAAAGAACCTTCTGAAAGCTATTCTATGAGAGCTCCTGGGAAGAACTTACAAACTGTAATGGCTGTTTTACTCCCAACAGTTGGAGGATCTACCACTTATTAGGAGTTATAGTTAATTCAAGTACTGGGATAAACAAACAACATAAGGGCTTTAGGTATCCAGGACTTTGACAAGCAGGTATCAGTTGAACCAAACAGCAGAAAATAATGAAAAACCAAAGGCACCTAAGTCACAGGCTCTGAGCTTCCCAAGTTCACCTTAATGGGAAATATGTTTTCTTCTCAGATCCCTCCCTTCAGGATTTACAGTTCCACGAGGCTTCATCAAAATCAATACTTTTCCATACAATAGATCAGGAAATGGTGGTGGAGCAAAAGCCTATTTTTATCTAAGATGAAGAGTTAAAGTACCCTACCTGCAATATAAAAAACCTGGATCAATCTCCTGCACTGCCTGCATTGTTCAGATGGACAAAATGTGCCCTACAGACTAATAGTTATAATATTACCCCAGGAAGTAAGTGAGGCAATTCAAGTCCTTACAAAAGAAGGAACGTCAATCTAAATCTGCATAAAGACTTTTTATATCCCACACAATCCAACAAGCTGGTTTAGCAAAAGGAGGCTACACTAATTACAAAAGGCAGTGGGTCAATGGCAGAAACCTGGTAAAGACGCTCTAGGAGACACCTGAGAAGCCAAGAATGCAGGTAAGAGAGGCACACAAACACTTCTTTTGTATACCTACACAACTCAAACACAAGCTCATGATCCAGCTGCTTGGGATGCTTGGGGTCTGAGAGATACAGTGCATGACACCTAGAAGGTATAGTGGCATGCAGAGCCAGTGAGTTGAGTTACTGAGAAAAGTTTTGAGGATTTATATTCAAAATTTCAAATTAAACTCCTGGTACAGATGCTGCCCAAAGGAAAGCAGAAAGGATTTCTTTTCCACAGTGAGGGATCACTGTTCTTTATAGAACTACATTCATTCAAGACCACATCATCTACTACACTATTAGACAGATAACCAGGACAAAACAAGTAACTCCAGTTCAACAGAAGAAACAATGATCAAATTTCCATCCCTTTACAGCTCACATTCAAGACCAGAAAGGAAAAAAAAACAATTAATCCCTATCACTATATTAAAAAATATGGCTTCCTTTGAAAGTAGAGACAAAGGCCAGTTATTGGCAGATCTTCACTACTACCTCTGGCCAGCTGGAGAACTGGATGTCATTTTGCCTGCAGCAATATTCATTGCTTATTTTATGGCATTTATAGCAGCACTGATCATTTTGAATGTGCATTAATCTAGCAGCCACTGAACGATGCTGCCCTCACTGGCACTCACAATGCTGTTAAGCACTGAAACTTGAAAGAACTTGACTGGATGGTCCTGCTGTCTTTTGACATCTCACCTCAATCTGATGGTGAAGATTCAGAATTTCTGCAGTGTTTCTAATCCTCAGCAGCCACTGTGTGTGACAAGGGCAAGGAGGGCACAAGTTTTAGGAAAACAGGTGCTCTCACCATAACACCAGGTTCATTATTTTTAAAACACAACTTCACATTCTGCAGGCTATTTAACTTGAAGCAACTGTCACAAAATACTCATTTTTTCTTAGTAAATTCTGCTTTTAATTTGGGGAATAAAGTTTGGTATTGTTTCAAAAATTAATAAAGTTGTCTGTGTACAATGACTCTGATCTCTACCAATACAGCAAGGCTAATATAGAGATCCAGGACCCCTCTCAGAACCCTGCTTCATATCCTTGAGTGGGATTCTGCCCAGGATGATCTACTTAAAAGGACAGTCCTTCAAGATGAGCATTTACTCCCTAATGACAACACAGTCTCTGCAAAGGTAAGCTCACAAGTAAAGTCCAGGTGCACTCCAGTCCAGCCTGTTCCATCCACTCTCTTCCTCCAAAGGAGGATGCAAAGGAACTCAACAGGAATCAGTGGCTACCAATGCCTCCTGCTGAACCAGCTCAGAGCAACCGCCTTGAGCAGCTTCAGCTGAGCAGAACCAGAACAACCACAGAACATGCAATACAACAACAACGGAGGTCACCAGAAACTCTTCCTCCAGAGAAGACAGAAACAGTCCAACAGCCTTTGGCACTGCTTCACCAGCAGTGCCTGGCTGATTAAGAGCAGACAATGTCTGAACAGCCTCAAAATGGCTTAAGGCTGCCAGAAGCACCCGTATATTCCAGTACCCCAATTTCTTTCCTCCTATGTGAAATTGGCAGCTGGCCACCTGTATGAATGCAGGAAGCTGGACTCGTGGCAGACCTCATGTAACACATCACACTTCAAAGAGCAGCACTGAAAGCCCTGTCAGTGAAGCTTAACTGCAGCTGCTGGTATCAGACTCAAAGTCCTAAACTACATAAACTGACTGCTGTAGCCAAGAGCAAACATCCTGTTCTTAGAACACGCCTTTGCCAAGCATGCGGCAGCACTTCCTTGGAATGTTTCTCCAGTTTCCAACTACTTGCAGTTTTAGGAATCTTCCAAGCCAAAGGCGAGAAGGGGCTTCCTGCATAGTAAGGAAATCAGAAGTAAAGGGGAGGGAATCATAAGAAATAAAACCATAGCTTAAGGTCCTTTGAGTTCAGAGCACCTTGTCCTTTTCTGAGAAACTGGGAACATGAACAAAAGAGCTAAATCCCAAGTTATTTGTTTTCTTTTAATCACAAACTTCACAAAAATCTATTATTCGCTACTTCTATTATTTTTTATTGTATCTCTACTACGTAAGAGTCAGTACTTGATCATATTTTGTGCCAAAAATAGTCTTTAGGTACATTAAAACTGCATAAAACACTAATTGCAACACTACAGCTGTTAGTTTGAAGACAAGACAAACAATATGTGGGACTGGAGATTACATTCTACTGCTATTTAAAGCGCTATTTTCTGTGCTACAACTGCAAAACAAGATAGAAAGCCCATTAAGTGCAAACACTTGTTAAACAAAAATTTAACGCAAGGAGTGGCACTGAAGATACAAATGCTGAAATCAGGGAGTGATGGGGCAGGAGGGGAAAAATCACACATGTAACATTTTGGACCAAGAAATAAGAGCAAAAGCAAAAGGTTCATCATACAAAACAGCCACTAAAACACAAGACAAAGTATGCTAATTTTTCACAGTTCCAAAGCTCTCTCAGACACCAGCGATTTATAATGAAAACCTGAAAGATGTGAACTATGGAGATGGGTGAACAACATTGTTCATTAGAATTGCCTTTCCTATTTTCTTACTTAATTGTTTAAAATTTTACCTTAAATAATGCCCTAACTTAAATGCATGCATTTTTAAGACCAAAAAACCAGCACGGAATTCCAGCCATACTAAAAAAAGGAGCTGCAGATTCTAAATCCCTTAGCCTTCAAAAAAAAACCAAAAAACCAAACAAACAAAATCCTAAACCGACTAGGATACTGCCTGATTTTTATTAATAGAGTAGTACAGCATTTCAGCATAGTCTTGGTTTTGCTGTTTCTAAATTAAAGTAGTTAAAGCAAATTGAGTATTTTTAAAATGAACTTTCACAAAGCTACTTTGGGATTCTATCACTATGCTTTACTCATTGTTAAAAGGTATAAAAAATGGATTTATCATAACTAAATCCTCTTCATACATTATTATTCCAAAGATTTTTCTTCTAATAAAGAAATCTAAATTTGAATTAGTTTTGTTACACAAAACATTTCTGAAATTACAAACTCTGCATGCTAAAAATCACAGGTTGAATTTTCCTCTGGGAAGTGAAGCAAATAAAATGAAGATAAATGGGTAATAAAGCAGAGATATACCTTTACACTACAAAACACATGATTTCTATATATCCATTAATGTTTAATTAGTTTTCTAGTGTTACCTAATTCCAATGTTCTGTAACTTGCCCCAGATAAACTTTCGGTAGTAGAAGAGCATGTTTTTCTGGAACATCGTCTCGGTGATATAGAAAAATGATCTGAGCAACTCAACCACATAGGTACCCATCAACCAGTATAGGAATTTGGCCAAAAGTTCTTCACGGAAACAATGTTCATCGGCAGGAACAAAGTAATCACCTTCAATAAACAATTCAAAGGTAGTTATAGCAACTATCAATTCTTAGCATGATTAAAGAAACAGAACACACAAACAAGAAACTTGCACAAAATTCTTGACTTAGCTTGAGGTCGTTAGAAAGAAAAAAGGTAAGTACAAACAACTACACAGATGCCACTCCAGATTTTCGGGGCATTTTATAATGCAACTGACCCAAGCTTAAAGTATAAACACAGGAACTAATCTGCAGTGACAAACTGACATAGAAGATACAAATACATGCCATAGTAGCCCAAAAACTTACTTTCTTCCCCCAATATTGATTGTGCAATATCCTTTAATGCACAAAGGCAAGATTATTGTGAAATGAGAGATAAAATAAAAAGAAAGAAACCTACTACAATATAAAACTTCTAAAAAAAGGAAGCAAAAGACTGAAAATAACTTAGGTAGACTATAAAAATTAACAAAATTAAACTGGGATGATTTGGGGATAAGAATGATATTGAGATTTCCCAATTATGTGAAAACGAATTAATTCCAGGGTTAGAATTTATTTCAGACATCCTATATAAAACTTATTACTGCAGTCAAAGTAAAACAAAGAAAAAATTCAGATCACCCAAAGTCCATCAGTACTTCCAATATTTAGATGGGACAACAATTAGGAACACAGAGCATTCCTAACTACTGTCAAATTTAAGGTCACATAGATCTGTAATTATGTCTAAATACAGATGAACAATGAATACGACCCTGAGCTACAATAGTTTTGGCCAACTTCCAATAATAATTTTTCTAATTACATTTAAAGAGTAGAATTTAGCCCAAATGCTAAACAAGATTCTAAAACAAACTACACAGAAATACTAGTTTAGCTAGCTTGCTTAGTACAAATCATGGTTATGGCATGAGTGTGTTAAAAACAGCTTAATTTTGATGCAACAGACCTGACAGTAAAATTTATCAAATGGAAATAATTTTTCAGTTTTCTAATCTGTTTGGTTTTTGCATGCTCCAGGGCAGAGACATTTTCATGTATTTACAGAACTTAAAAAGAGACTACTACTACTTCAACGGAAGCCAGTTAACATCAGGGAAAAATTTCAGAGTTGGAAAACTCTCTAACTGAAGAGTTGCAATATGCAGTTGAATCAGGATGCTGATAGGTAGCTGCCCTGGAAATAGATTATTTCTTTTCTAAGTTCTTGACAACAGATGTAAACAATTACTACAATTCAGGAAATTGTCAAAAAGACCACTACTACTTTTGGAGGAAAAAACAACACCACTTACAGTGCAGCAAAGCAATTTAGAGCATGTTTAAACATCAAGCACATGAGAGTACTTCCATGAAAATTAAAATAAGCCTATATATTGCTTTACCTGGAATATGGCCAGAGAAGAAGAAGGCATTATATTTTCCAAAGATAACATGCTTCAAATTACTATGAATCAAACACATATTTTACAGTAAAGTCTTTTTAAATATTTAACTCCTCAGCATTTTGGAAAGTGTGGTTTTGAACCACCATTTCTGAATAAAGAAATACTGTTTCCTAGAATTAAGAGTTTCTTATGAAAGTGTAACCTCCCTTATTTTTGACATCAGTTCTCAAACATCAGACTTTTGATTTCCCTCCTACACTTGAAAGAACCTGTAACAGTTCCAGAATTTACCGCACCTTTTAACAAAAGAATAACATTTCCAGCTCACATTACTGTAGGATCCAAGTACAATACCAGGTAAGAATAAACACTGTAAGTATACCAGCTAAGAGAGTGCAATCCATATTGAATAGATGAAGAACAGAAGCATAGAAAAATGAAAATATGCACTAGATCCTACAGCAACCAACCCCAGAACCACAGCTTCAGCCTAGATTTAAATCCTAGGATAGTGTCTGAAGAACAAACTCAAGGAAAGGAAGATTCACCTGCCATTTGAAAAGAAGATTAAACAGAAATGGATTAATACACAATCTGGAGCAATCAGCTGTTGCCCTAATGAAAGCTTTTTAGCTAGGGAACGCTTGGCCTGGAGACTTCTGCATCACCAATTAGCCAGGCTGAAGCAGTGCTCAGTAAGGCTCTCTTGATCCTAGAGAAGGGCTCTAGAAAAGGTGACAGATGATGACAGCTATTTTTACACTGATATGTAGTAACAGGACAAGGGGGAAAGGTTTTAAACCGAAACAAAGTAGGTTTAGATTAGATATTAGGAAGAAATTCTTTACTGTGAGGCTGGTAAGGCACTGGAACAGATTGCTCCAGGTGGTTGTGCATGTCCTAGCCCTGGAAGTGTTCAAGGACAGGTTGAATGGGGTTCTGAGCAACCTGGTCTAGTGGAAGGTGTTCCTGCCCATTGGAGGGAGGCTGGAACTAGGTCTTTCAGGTCACTTCCAATCCAAACCATTCTGTGATTCTATAGTAGGCAATCCCTGTATTGAATAGGTCTCGTATTCACATCTTTCTCATAGGGTTGATGTGAGGAATAAAAAAAACCTGGTTTTATTCACTCCCATAGCAGAGGAACACATGCTACTGCAAGAGTCTTAATTTGCTTTTAGCTATTTCTGAACTCTTACAGTAACAAACAGGCAGTTTATTCCTAACATGCTTAGGTCATACCTTAATGGATTTTCAGAGTTACTGCAATTTGGATAGTAGGAGTGGATAGGAAAGAGTGTTGGTTTTTTGTTCAGCCCAGGTTCTGAATTCATGTTTATGAAAATGTCATTCTTTTAAACACAAACATCATGAATTCAAACAAGTTTTGGAAGGAAGACAAGCTTAAGTGTCCTTCTACCATCAGTTACAAACACTACTATGTTTGCTCTCTCAGCTATGGTTATTACCAATGAACTCAGCAATTCTGAGTCCAGATTCAATATCCTCCCCTTCCCACCTTAAACATGAACATCAATCATCTAACAGTCTCACCATTTAATTCGTTAATATAAGAAGTACCTTTGCCTAGACGAAGCCACATGCAGTCATTCACTCTCATCCTCCACATCAACTCCTGCAATGAAACCTTAGCAAACCTCCCCCTGGAAATGAACATTTTGACATTTTTTAGGAACCGGCACTTGTTGTGGTATGAACCCCAAAGCTCAGCAGGGATGACCTTCTCCAGGCAATCCCTCACAAACATGTACACCTGCCAGTAGCTGCTGTGCTGCTTGAGGAGCTCCCTGAGGGCTGCATCTCGTGCCTCTCCCGGGTTTTGCTCCTCACTCGGCAACAACTCCCCGCGCAGAGATTCTGCAACGGGAGCACCTAAGTTGTCTGGCACATTAGTATGACCAGATTCACATCTGCTGCTTGACACACACTTAGTAGGCTCTTTCCCAAACTGTTCTGCTTGCTTCTGAACCTCTGCTTCCCCAGGCAAGGCTGCCTGACAAGATAGATTGATTTTTCTCATACTGATTTCAGATATCCGAACGGGGCAATTTTTTCTCAAGAGAGCTAAGTAAGCACACTTTCCATGGTTCTTTAGCAATTGCTGAAATGTATGCCTCATTTGCCGGTAGCGTTTGGGCAACGCCTTCTTTCTCCGCTTGCGGCGTTTTGGCAGACTTTGGTTATGCCTTTGCTGCACCTGATTTTGGCTTAAGAATATAGCTTCTATAAGCCGTCTTCCACCTGCCTGAGAGTCCTGCAAGCGATTCAATAGAAATGATTTAGGAAAACATTCATGGAAACTCCTGCAAGAATACAGAAGAGACTTCCTCTCAATGTATACTGCAGAACTCAGAAGTCTATTTGGTAACTTCTTTGATAAATGAGGTTGGGGACTTTCCCGCCCTCTGCATTTTGAGGTACCCTCCATGGGTTCGGTTTCTCCCGAAGGCAACTGAGATTCATAGGTATGCATCTCTACTCTTTTCCTGTGCGTTTCTGCTTGCATTTCAGTGTTGGAGCCTAAAGGTTTGTTACGCTGAAGTCTCTGCAGAAGATAGCTTTTACCTGCCAAAAACTTCCCCCTGCCGCGAGACGTGTGAACTAAAGAAGGACCAGACACAGCACTATTACTTCTTTCAGAAATATGGGGGGTTTTAATGACACTTTCAGAACGTGGTGCTACATATTCAGTTTCAGGTGTCTCGGAACTATTTTGGTTTAGATCAGGAACAAGATTACAAGCCTTTTCCTCTCTCACTTTCTCCCCTATTTTTGCCCTCTTGGCTGGAATTTCAGGTTGCTCTCTATGAATCTTCCTTTTTTGAGATGGAGCTGTAGCTGAAACACATGAACCGGAGCTACTCTGTTTTTCCTGATGTTCAGTAACCATTCTGATCTGTTTGCCTGCTTTAGAAACAGCTTTTGCAGAACACTGGTCAGTGGGTACTAAGTTTTGTCTCTTGTTTTTGCCTTCATTTCTCATTCTCATGGAGACATTATCTTCACATCCTTGTCTGTACTTCCATTCATATGACTTTAAAAGATACTTTCTATGAAACATAAGCCTTTTTCGCACATATTTAAGCAAGCTAGTACATTTATACTTTGAGAACCTTTGTCTAAAAAACACCAGGGGTGAGTCTACATTATATGAAATAAGTTCATAAACCGGTTGCCCACAAACTTGGTAACAATTACTAGGGGGAACCAGCATAAAGACGGCGCAGTGTTCCAGTAAATACATCATCACATCATCCCCTATCCGGCTCAACAGTGTCTCCCAGAAGCCGCTGATACAAAGAGTTTCTGTGGCAGTATTGGGCAGGTAGCTGTGTATCTTTCTGGTAAGGAGTATCCATATGCGAGGACATTCTTCTTCTTTTTTTCACACAGTCTCTGAACGACTCTTGAGGTAACTTCACTCTGACTAGATAA